TCATTGTTGCTGTACACGTTCCCTTTTTTGGTGTCAGCTAGACCCTGTAGATCTGCGACGGGGGTCCCAGCCTAAAAGAGCGAACGACGGCAACAATTCGAAGACTTTCTTTATTTGAGTTAGGAGAGCGTTTTCAGAGGAGTGAATCTGTTCATCTTCACCACAGCGGTTCGATGATCACCGACGAAATTCGCTTCAGTATTATCGATGCTGTCTATCTACGACCTGGCATCTGGGACTGTCAGAGGTAGGGTCTTAGATACAGACATGGATCTCCACGGAGGGTTACTGTAGATTGTTGTTTTCAGAGAGAAAACTGTTGGTCCTTCAAGGAAAGAACTTTTTGTAGAGGTCACAAACTTGATAAATCAACAGAATCAGCTCGATCCAGAGCTCACGCGTGAGTGGTTTCTTCTATTTACTTTATTAACCCTTGTAAACCCGTTAGGGGTATACCATTCTGTATGTGGATGCTCACTCCCCTATGGTATCTTGGATTCGCATTAGCTGCATAACGCGAAAGGGAATGGTACGGGGGCTGTTTAGCGCCTCTGGTGCTAAAACTGTTCGGGCGTTTGATCAGAATGTGGCCTGGGCCTTGGGGACTGGGAGGCCAAGGGGAGAATAGTGTCTCCATGCTTGATAGCTGCCCATATACCGCTTCACAGTGGTATGGCGCCTAGAAAACACTTCAAAGTTTTCACAAAAGTTGGGGGAAGGGGGGTAAATGGGTTTGGTGTAGATACATTAACACATTCTGCGTTGTATTGGACTTCTATGTTCATTGTTTTTTTCCTGGGAAAATCAGCTCCATTGTCTTTTTGTTTATCCTGAAGAAGTTAGATATAAACAGTGGAAGATCTAAAATGACACTTACAGTGAAGACAAGGAAGAAGGGCTGAATACTGTTTGCAGGGTGCTTTAGGATCGACACGACACTACCGGCAACGCCACGTGACCGCAAGCAGGTTAGCTCCATATCACAGTAATACTTCGCAGCAGTAGAAAAGTATCACTTTTGCTACTTGGAACTGCATGGCAATGATGCTGGAGTATTGCGATAGTTGGTTCTTCTTTCATGTCTATGCCTGCAGGCAGAAAAACGTTCCTAAACAAAACGCTAACACGAGCGTACAAAAAACGGCCGCGTCGTACAAAGCAGCACGTCCCGATCTTGGTGGCGCCCTCTACGTTGCTGTGTGCATTGTTGTCCATATTCGAACCAGACAAACGTAAAGCACGTTGCACAGACAATTGTGCTCCATCTGTGCGGGACCGCTTGGCGGAACGTAGACTGGTCGTGGTGTTGCGTACGTTTTGGTTCTAAGAATTTGTGGGTGCTGGTGTGTGCGGGTCGGTGGTTGGTTCTCTGTAGCGTTGCATTTGCTTGGCAATAGTTGGCAGACATAACAATATCCATCGCACCGCTTTCACAACCCTCCGTCTTTCTTCCTATGCTAAGGTCGAGGTGGTGATCATTTACAGCTGCGAATTTGCCCATCTCATCCCTCATGAAAAGAACAATCAAGGTAAACGTGCAGTGTGTCTTTAGGTCATTGATTTGTGGTTTCTTTTATTAGTTGCCGTTATATGTGCTTACTTGTAGCTGTCATACAATAACGACACCTCCATGCCGGTGACTCCGAAATGGAAATTCTACAGTTCGCTAATGTTTTTGGATGATTTGTTCAGTGTTCATAGGAATGTCACAAAACGAAGAATTGATGAAGTGTCAGGATCCTCTCAGGTATGCTTTGCTGTAGAGAATTTCTACTCCCCAACACAGAATGGGCGTAGCTCGGCGACGGGGGGGGGGGGGACATTTTGCACTTTCGCTACTTCACTAGTTCCGGTTTACAAGTCTCACTCTGGTGAAACCTGTGAACTCTGTGAAGCTACAGCAAGCTCGTTGGGCTACTATGGTAAAACCTGTCAACTCAAGTAAGCTCATGGAATAGCTTTGCAGAAGGTCGATACGTCGATGGAAAATATGGGAATGCCCCATCCCCCGTCGCCGAACTGCCCCACAGAATGTATTGGCTCAGTTCGATCGAGGCGTGATGAGTAATCATGCTCGCTTAGCAGTAGTTACGATGTCACGGGGAGGGGACCCAGATAGTGAAGGTATCCTGTGGGTCTCAGCCTTAGCCCTTTTGAAAGTGCTAAGCTATGAAGTATAGAAGCTAGTATAGAAAAGCAGCTCCTTGGGATTAGTGCTGATCGTGGAATATTTTTGGTTTTCCTCTAGATATTCAGCAAAACTCATTCTCAGTAGGTATCTGTTGGGATTTTATACGGTCTCTCAATTATTGTATTCTTCGCAAAGGTTCTACGTACGGATCGTAGCTATACAGACGATGAGGATTCGAAGACGAGTCGATGCTCTGACCTCAGCTCTTCCCATTTCCCTGCTGAAAGCTTCTTTAGACCTCAGGTGATTGCTCAATAGAAACGGGACTTAGTCTTACTGTATACCGTAACTTTCCAAGGTTTTTGAAACGGTATGGTATCATTTATGATCAACGATTGTTTTTGTTTCCTAACTGTCACCGTCTCTCGGATTTTTTTTCTAAATTTCCTCTTGCAGGCCATGTTTTTTTGTAGTATTTGAGAATAATGTCGCGATTCCCGTCACCTAACCGGGTATCGCGTCGTCTTACGACGGCAACGATTTCGTTTATTTTCAGAATGCAATCGTTCATGCGAAACGCATACCACCGCCGCCATCAGAAGATGCCGAAGATGAGGACGAATATATGGCGTTCTGTGAGTTCAGCTCATCAGAAAGCTGCGTTTATAGCTTGCGACACTTGAGAATCGGGAAATTCGCCCAACCGGGAGATTTGCAAGGTCCGCGAAAAGGGGTGCATACACACATTAGCCTGAATAATGGAAGAATTCTCGAGAAAGAATCAGAAGTGTATCGATTGACACTGTCAGAATTGGAGATCGATCGTTGCGTACTGTTCTCTTTCGCGACGTTCCTACTCATTAGACCAATGCTTTTCTTGTGGCTGATTCTCCGATTCTATAGATATAGTGTCGCAAAGTAAGAACGCGCCTTTTCACCAAGCTGTGTTTATACTTTGCGACTATCAGGAAGCCGCACGTAGGAACAATAGTGCGATTCGCGCTAACCAGTGACAAAGGACAGTATACAGATTAATTTGGAGAACTGCGAGTAATGCGCGAGGATAGATTAGATGGAAATTGATTGACTCCGCTTCTCTGTGAGGGGTACAGCATCGTGATGTGTGGTGCCAGAACGATCCTTCCCGCCCTCTCCCACCTTTTGCTTAACTTTCAGGGCACATCATTGGTTGGGGATTTCAGTCGAGTCTTAACGACCCCTCCGTTGGTGCGACCCCCCCCCCCCCTTCACAACGTCCGTGAAGCGAGAAAAATCAACTATCAAAATAAATTTTTCCCAGCCCAAATACGACCCCCTCTCCTGGCGGCCAAATACGACCCCCTATTGGGGATTGCCCAACAACGATGTGCCCTGTTAACTTTACCAGTTTTCCAGACAAAAACTGCAGTTGAGCGAGAGCAGGTTATGTAGAGCGAATGAAACAGGAAAAATCGCACAAGTACGACCCCCCCCCCCTGATGGGATTCCCCAACGATGGTGTCCACTGCCTCCCAAATCATGGGTTCTACAGATCGATACTTTTACCTTTGTGGGAATTTCCCGAACCGTGTCGCTGAGGGTGTCAGCGAGGGTGTCGTATTTGGTCGCTGAAGGGAGGAGGTGGTAGGAATTTGGGAGAGTTCAGGAAGAAGGTAGGTATGATGGGGAAGGGGATCGTACCAGGTGAGGGGATTTCGGTGGGGAGGGGGGTCGTATTTTACAAAAACTTCCCAGCGACAGGCCTGCCTCGATCCCAAATCGCTGGTTCTCGGGATCGATATTTGTACTTGCGCGCATTCTACCGAGCCACCAACTTGCGGACCCTTTACCTTCGCAAAGTATGAACGGCGTTACAGATTATGTATCAGTCTAATGATTTCTCTGAGCTTTCAGGTCGTTCACTTTTACATCCCTTGCGGGAAATCGCCTACAAGGACCGTATACAGTATCTGAAAGTCCAGAAAGCAATTCGTGATCTTTTGCATGACGCACAACATGGATATGCTTCTTGACTCATCATATGCGATAGGTGTGTGTGTGTGCGCGCTCGCGTTTGTGTGCAATTGCACCCACCACCGAATTTTCGGGTCTTCTTCTCTCTATTTGCCATCACTTTTCTGTGTGTTTGTCTCTCTCTCAATACACTTGGCCTCTTCTTCATGAAGCTGTTACAGTTTCCTTTTATGCTCGTTATTGTTAGATCGTCATTATAATTTTTTGTTTAGATATATCATTGTAGATAATTGGCTGAAATATATGATCGTAAATTAGTGGCAGGCCGGTGGCCGTCAGTAATATATCCCCATGCATCATATGAAGTCTTATCCGTTGTGGTGGAGATCAATAAATGCTGTTTTGAAGTACAATTAGATGTGTGGGAGCAAGGAGGGGGTCAGCTAGCTTCGGGACAAGTGGTCAAGTGGATTATTCAATAGTCCTTGGAGCAGGACATGTGTTGGGAATCCCCAACGCAGGGCAACTGTCGTATTGTCTTGTTCGCCGCGCAAGTTGGAGAGTTTCAGATGGGTGTGTGTGGCCCAGCCTGTATTCCACCAATTCGGGAAGCTGGAAAGCGACCACTGGTGGAGGCCGGACTCGCGTCGCGCCAAACTTAGCTCCACTGGAACTCCCCAGCTTCCGCAGCGTATCTGATCGTTGGAAGAAAGGGGCTACTTTTGGTACGATGGTTGGCCGGAGTGGATTACCCCTCTCGACGGACTTTTGGGTGGCTGCGTTTTGGGAAACGCTCCAAACACCAGGACGTCCCATGCCTACGAGGTGATGAAGTGTCATATACATTAGGGCTTTTGGTCTGGGTCATATAGGTTAAGCTCCTAGATGAGCTTCGTGGTATGTGGGGGGGTTGGAAGAGGGAAGGGAGGGAGCGCGCGTGCCACCAGGTCTACCAGTCTTGGCTTTTCGGCAGTACTTTGCCTCCTCGGACTTAGCCTTAGAAGACGACATGTACGCGGCGTGGTCTTGTTGCGTCCTCTACCCCTCTCCACAACTGTATGGCATGGTGCTCTGCATAAGAAATTGTGGAGCCCTACCCAGTTATACCTTCGAAAATATTACTCAGCTGATATGAACATATGGAAAATTTTGACCTAGTCTGAGGAAGCTGCCAGGTGGTCATACGGCAAAGTAACCAAGCCACTCATTCTCCGGCCTATGGCGCTACGACCGAGAGAGCGGTCCCCTCAACAGCTCTGTCCTCCGGGAGCACAGACGTTCTGGGTCAGCGTGCTCTGATATTGTTGCGTGCCCTTTCTTTCGCTCCCCCAGCCAAGGCTCACCGTCGTTGTAGGAAACACAGCGAGGAGTGGGTCGTAATCGACTACTGGAGACGGAGAGGTCCTACTTCGCAGGATTTTTACACAGCGTGACGGTGTGTCCTGCCAACGAAATAACTTTAGAAAGTACAGCTATAATATGGTATAAGTTTACTATTGGAATACAGAGGACTACATTCAGTATAATAATATGCAAAGCTGGGAATCGTTAAAATTGGGACCGCTGTTGCACCCACGGTGCATAATCCTGCGAGAGGGCGCTGTCCCCTCGGAAAGGTTAGCTGTTCCTTGACTGATCAGAGTTTGGTTATGTGGTAGCTGAAGTTTGAAGGCAGTGGGCACGATGGATGGGGGCGGGCGGTTACTCCCAGCGTCACTGGTGGAAGGGCTGAGTGGGATGTGGCCAAACCAGCGTCACGAGTGGAAGGGCTGAGTGGGATGTGGCCAAAAGCCGCATCACAGCCCTTCCACTCGTGACGCTGGCAGTAACCGCCCGCATCCAGCCATCTGCCCTTTGCCTTTTACCAAAACTACTGGAAAAGAGATTAAAGGTGCTGTTCACTTGGTGCGCGGCGTGAACATCCGGTTCAGATCAGCTTTCCGGTTAGGGTCATCTAGCCTTTTAGGTAGTGGAGGGAGAGGGGGAGGGGCGCAAGGCGTTGCAGTGCTGCCGGGAACTATGAAAGAGGAGCTCAGGAAATGGTTGGGTTACCTGGCCGCCCTCTCACTACTCGCTATGCGTGATTTGCCTCTATTATTTTGCACTGCAGTTACTCATCAGAGGATTGCCGTGTGATTTCCTCGTGTCAAGTTTCCCCCCCCCCCCCCCCCCCATCCCCGCGTCGATTGCGTGAGGTACAGCGCCCTCTCGCAGGATTATGCACCGTGGGTGCAACAGCGGTCCCAATTTTAACGATTCCCAGCTTTGCATATTATTATACTGAATGTAGTCCTCTGTATTCCAATAGTAAACTTATACCATATTATAGCTGTACTTTCTAAAGTTATTTCGTTGGCAGGACACACCGTCACGCTGTGTAAAAATCCTGCGAAGTAGGACCTCTCCGTCTCCAGTAGTCGATTACGAC